TATTTGCCCTTATGGGGTGACAAATGATGGGAAACGGCTGAAAGACCGGCCTACAAAACTCACTGCTTTCCAAACCATGATTTTTTCTTGCCGTGTGGGAACGGCCCCTGACTGTTGGTATTCGGCTGAGCCTGTAGCGAGCTTTAGGTCCTTAACCCATTCACCAACAAACACTTCTCCATGTGTCTGAACTCTCTTATTTCCCCTTAGTCTCTCACGCAAGCAACTACAATGAAATTGTTGGAGAACGTGGGAAGAGGGGATGACCCAGAGAAGCAGATTTTCCTCATATTTATTCTTATACAGCCATTACTGTCATTTTACACTGGACGCACTGATATCGATTACTTTACTTCTAGATCAATGTCGATCGACGATATCGATCGTTTCAGCTCGTTGCCAATTCGTGGCTCAACGAAACGAAAATCGAAGTCGCGAGGCGAGTCGGACGACGACATGAAGTCGGGCGATGAGCGCGACGTTGACCGACGATCGGCCAATAACGCTCGTGAACGGTATGTCCGTTTGCTTATTGTTTATGTTTGTTTATTGATTTTCTACATAGTTTATCGTCTTGGTTGCTGGGTGTTTATATGGCCGGCTGGCCACGCCCACACTTTTAAGATTAGAATCGCCTGATCCGTGCGACCACTCAGCGTGCACTGTATATACATAGATTGCGCAATACAAAGAGACATCGCGTGTGGTAATGGCCTAGATGGGCGCGGGTGGCCGAATCTCGATGGCCAAGGGGATTTGAAGACCCCGTCACACATCGGGAGGGATCGCTTCCATTAGGGGTGAAATTGCCAATTCTATCTCCGAGCTTTTGAATCGATATATTGATTTTCTAAAGACAACAACCCCTAGCTCTTCTGGGAGGAAGTACAGGTTTTTGAGGGTTTTTGAATCAGGACCTGTCATGGTCATTTGCCTTACAATACTTCAAATATTCAACCGGAATGAGCGTATTTTTGCCGACATTTCTGGATACTGTACATTTTTGCAGACTTTTGGTAGTTGTACTCCGGCGGGGAATTGGACTGAAAATAAAACATTGCAAAGAAAGAAAGGAAAAGAGGGTCAAAATTAATTACAATGGCGTCTTCCCAGGCACCTGTATTACGGTACTCCATAGATAACGACGCCTAGGCGAGAACCACTCTCAGCGAGATAATCGTAATGTCAACTGGGATTGACTTAATCCGATTGTGATCTGTTGCGTCGTCTTGATTGGTGATGACCGTGATTACGGACCTGCCGTGGTTGTCTGTGAGTTGGGATATCCATGGGAATCCTCGTGATTGTTGGACTACTACAATACAGTGAGATAAACTTTTGAGTTACTACAGTAAGAACTGAAGGATGCTTTCCGGATCTTGGATGCCAAATAAGCGCGAGTTTCTGCAAAAGCTTAGCCAGTAATGCCTTGCAGAAGCCTCGGTCACTCTTGTCTCTGCTAGAGTTCCATTATTCCCTGAGCTTTTTTGCCATGACAAACGTAGGCTTTCCCCCAAAGTATCCACCCTGCTCTGTTTTTTTACCCTCCCGGGGCTTTTGTTATGGAAGCATGTTCTCATGACGCAGAATGCTGAACGCATTTTGTGGATCCCCTATGTTTCCCACTACCAGCCAAATAAATTTAGCGCAGAAGAGTCGCTGGGCAACGGCACTGCAGCACAAAATCCGGAAAGCATCCTTCAGTTCTTACTGTAGCAACTCAAAAGTTCACCTCACTGTATTGTAGTAGTCCAACAATCACGAGGATTCCCATGGATATCCCAACTCACAGACAACCACGGCAGGTCCGTAATCACGGTCATCACCAATCAAGACGACGCAACAGATCACAATCGGATTAAGTCAATCTCCAGTTGACATTACGATTATCTCGCTGAGAGTGGTTCTCGCCTAGGCGTCGTTATCTATGGAGTACCGTAATACAGGTGCCTGGGAAGACGCCATTGTAATTAATTTGACCCTCTTTTTCCTTTCTTCTTTCAATTTTCCTTTCAATCCAATTCCCCGCCGGAGTACAACTACCAAAAGTCCGCAAAAATGTACAGTATCCAGAAATGTCTGCAAAAATACGCTCATTCCGGTTGAATATTTGAAGTATTTGTAAGGCAAATGACCATGACAGGTCCTGATTCAAAAACCCTCAAAAACCTGTACTTCCTCCCAGAAGAGCTAGGGGTTGTTGTCTTTAGAAAATCAATATATCGATTCAAAAGCTCGTAGATAGAATTGCAATTTCACCCCTAATGGAAGCGATCCCTCCCGATGTGTGACGGGGTCTTCAAATCCCCTTGGCCATCGAGATTCGGCCACCCGCGCCCATCTAGGCCATTACCACACGCGATGTCTCTTTGTATTGCGCAATCTATGTATATACAGTGCACGCTGAGTGGTCGCACGGATCAGGCGATTCTAATCTTAAAAGTGTGGGCGTGGCCAGCCGGCCATATAAACACCCAGCAACCAAGACGATAAACTATGTAGAAAATCAATAAACAAACATAAACAATAAGCAAACGGACATACCGTTCACGAGCGTTATTGGCCGATCGTCGGTCAACGTCGCGCTCATCGCCCGACTTCATGTCGTCGTCCGACTCGCCTCGCGACTTCGATTTTCGTTTCGTTGAGCCACGAATTGGCAACGAGCTGAAACGATCGATATCGTCGATCGACATTGATCTAGAAGTAAAGTAATCGATATCAGTGCGTCCAGTGTAAAATGACAGTAATGGCTGTATAAGAATAAATATGAGGAAAATCTGCTTCTCTGGGTCATCCCCTCTTCCCACGTTCTCCAACAATTTCATTGTAGTTGCTTGCGTGAGAGACTAAGGGGAAATAAGAGAGTTCAGACACATGGAGAAGTGTTTGTTGGTGAATGGGTTAGGACCAAAGCTCGCTACAGGCTCAGCCGAATACCAACAGTCTGGGGCCGTTCCCCACGGCAAGAAAAAATCATGGTTTG